CATGTGGCAAAACTGAATTTTATTTTAAAATTATTCCTATATGTATATATAGATATGATGTTCAATGTATTTCAAAGGAAAACACTGAACTCAATCTGTACTGGCAGAAAAAATAACTAACAAAGCTGATTTGTTATCTATTAAAAGCATATATCAAAATAAAATTTGAAAACTTTTATTAATTTATTAAAATGAATAGCTTTAATTAAACATAAATTCAAAATAATATAATACTAGTTTTGCTACTATTATCATTAGTAACATAGGTAGTGAAAATAAGTTTTCCCCTGTCAACTGTGGTCAGAGGTTTGTAGAAGTCAAAAATAATGAGACATTAAAGATATGCCTACCTTTTTTTCCCTAGTACCAAGTACATTGAGACATTTGTCATATCGCTTATAAGCTCAAAAACCCTCCAGAAAAATCAGGGCTTTTGCATATGGAAGAAGCGTTCAACGGCTTGTTTCACTTCAGTATTGCTTCCAAAGTGCCTTTCCCCCCAAGATTTTTCTTCAAAGCCGGAAACAGATGGAAGTCGCTTGGTGCGAGATCAGGACTGTATGGCGGATAGTGTAGGCGCTCCCGACAAAGAGTTGCAATATGGTTTTGCGTTGCCGTCGCCGAATGTGGTCTGGCATTGTCATCCAAAAGCAGAACGCCAGCTAACTTTTGTTTAGTCGGATGACATGATTTAAAGTGTGGTGGAAGGCAAACCGATGAAGGTTTACGGTAAACTGTAGTACTGAAGTTGGATGTGTTACGTGTGACCAGAATGTCGAGAAACGGAAGAGAATTGCAAGTCTCAAGTTCAAAAGTGAACTGAATAGCAGGATCAATAGAATTCATTGTTGAAAGAACTCTATTTAAATCATCTTTATTACCTTCAAACAGGGTAAAAGTATCGTCTACGTACGGAACCATGCCGGGAAGTTTAAAGTTTCAAACATTTTGATTCATAATAAGCATGTAGATATCAGCCAGGATGGGGACTGAGGGGGCTTCCATGGCTAATCCCTCATTTTGCTTGTAATATTTATTTTGGAAAACAAAATGTGTTTGTTTCAAACAGAGTTGAGTGAGAAATTAGCTCATCAATTCGATGCAAGAGAAATGAAATTCGCGAAGTCTGGTTTCTAGACATCTTAATAGCACCCTCCACTGGGACATTAGTGAATATGATTTACATCAAAAGAAACCATGAGTAAATTACGAGGAAATGTTTTTAACCTTTTTTACAAACTCTATGAATTTTTTATGGTGTAAATGTTATTGTCTAATAAGTGTCTAGAACGAGAATGCAGTTACCGTCATAAAAACACCTTGCAGTTAAATTCGAAAAACTTCTTTTACAGTCTTCCAGTTCAAGTAGTTCAAAAATCTTCCCATTGTAAACATCAAGCCAATAGTTAATATTTCTAATGTTAGTCTTTCAGAAGAACAAGAGAGAATTCTAAATATAATTTTAACTTCTCACAAACCTGTAAACCCTCGATTCCAAAGATTTTGGCTCCTATCGAAAAAGCTTTCAAGTTCAGTAAAGTTTCAGATTCACAGAAAGAAATGATTAGGCATCTTATCGCTCATAATGTGAAATTCAATAATAAATTTGAAACCAAATCTAACTGCGAGAGAAAGAGCTACAATGCGCGAAATTCATTCTAACCCGGATATTATCATTTCAAAGGCCGACAAAGGTGGCCAGATAGTCGTCATGGATAAGAACACTTACATCGATGGTGTCACTAAACTCTTAAACGAAGGACCATATAATCCGATCCCTAAAGATCCTTCACCTTCGGACTTATCCAAAATAAAAACTGCGATCAAATCTTCGCAAATCATTTCAAGCAACTTAAAACATTCGCTTATCCCATCTGTTGCGAATTGTGCCAGATTATATGCTCTTCCCAAAATTCATAAAAGTGGTATTCCTTTCCGCCCTATTGTATCAAATTTAGGTACTGCCTCGTATCCATTAGCTAAATATTTAGTTTCTAGATTTTCCACTCTATTAGACAATAACATTTACACCATAAAAAATTCAATAGAGTTTGTAAAAAAAAGGTTAAAAACATTTCTCCTCGTAATTTACTCATGGTTCTTTTGATGTAAAATCATTATTCACCAATGTTCCCAGTGGAGGGTGCATTAAGATGTCTAGAAACCAGACTTCGCGAATTTCATTTCTCTTGCATCGAAATTGATGAGCTAATTTCCCTTCACTCAACTCTGTTTGAAACAAACACATTTTTTTGTTTTCCAAAATAAATATTACAAGCAAACTGAGGGATTAGCCATCGGAAGCCCCTCAGTCCCATCCTGGCTGATATCTACACATAATTATGAATCCATTATTATGAATCAAAATTGTTTGAAACTTTGAAAACTTCCCGGCATGGTTCCGATACGTAGACGATACTTTTACCCTGTTTGAAGGTAATAAAGATGATTTAAATAGAGTTCTTTCAACAATGAATTCTATTGATCCTGCTATTCAGTTCACTTTTGAACTTGAGACTTGCAATTCTCTTCCGTTTCTCGACATTCTGGTCACACGTAACACATCCAACTTCAGTACTACGGTTTACCGTAAACCTTCATCGGTTTGCCTTCCACCACACTTTAAATCATGTCATCCGACTAAACAAAAGTTAGCTTCATTTTATTCCTATGTTTTCCGTGCTCTTCAAGTTTGCTCCTCCAAACTAGCCCTTGATGAAGAACTAAATTATTTAAAAGCAATAGCTATTGACAGGGGCTTTTCACCCAACATTATTAATCAAGCAGTTAAAAAATTCTCATTCTCAACACACCAAAAAGCCACACTCTTATTTTAGGAGATTATAAAAATTCTGTTGTCATTCCCTTCTTTCCATCAATTAGCTATAAAGTTGCACATATTTTGCAGAAATTTAACTTTCGGGTTGTTTACTCTCCCATCAATAAAATTCCAACTTCTATACTCAAGGACCCCATTCCGGATATGAATTCCTGGGGTATTTATAGGATTCCTTGCCAGTGTGGTTTAATTTACATTGGCCAAACTAAGAGAGCCTTAAAATTTCGCGTCAAAGAACATGAGGCATATGTTAGAAAAAAGGAAACACAGAAGTCTTCTGTTGCTCAACATTGTTGGTCCGAAAATCACACTTTCAATTTTTCTGCTGCCAAAATTATTCAAAAAACATCTTCCATTGGAGAACTGGATTTTCTAGAGGCATTTCACATTCATAAAAATCTTTCTGTTCTAGTTAACGATCCTAATTCCAATCCAAATTTGCCTTCGGCTTTTAGAGAAATTATGTTTTAGTTCTGGTTTCGCCAACAGATGGCGCCACTTGCTTATTCTTGTCCAGGCTTTCTTATCTTATCTAAACATTATTTCCTATCTTGTTCATTTGCGGTTTTTGCAGCTGAAGATGATGGTTCGGTAAAACCATCGAAACTAGTCCTGTGAAAATTTTGCAAATTTACGCTGATTTTTGTTGTTTGACTTCTGAATTAGTATTATATGGAAAATTGTAGCTAAAGAAGGGGATAAAATAATGAGTTCAAAATTTACTACCAGGCATATGAATGTACTATTTTTTTATGCACACGGAAAAAAAGAACAGCACAAGTTGAATAACACATTTTTATTCACTATGCCATCACAAGTTACTTTTCTTGGCAGCTTCTATGTGCTACTTTTCTTGCTGTGTTACAAACTGCATCTTGAAATATTCAATGGCAGAATGCAAAATACAGGACTGATGTTGCACAAATACTGTGTTGTGCTTTTATTTACAACAGTAAAATCATAAAAAGTTTTCAGTAAACCCCATCAATTAGAAATCCTCAAAAATAAATTGAAACAGATTCCTGTCACGTGGACAAGTTAAGTGTACAGTCTTCATCACCCAGGTTTTATGAAATATTCTATAAAAAACCTCCAAATGGATGGGGTATTATGTGAAGACACTTCACTCTGCATGAGTAAATAAATAAATTTAGTTATATATCAGGATCCCATGACAAATGATGCTACAAGCCCACATTAATCAACTCAGGTGAAAGTAAAGGAATCCATTCAAAGGCATATGAGTTTTAAAATCTTCATAGAAGGCAAATGTGAATAATTATAGCCCTTTTCTTGTGAAAACAAACTTCATCAAAATATATATTGCTCTCAAACATAACACCTACATTGTCCTTCAAGAGCCTAACCTTCTCTCTTACATTCCCATCAACACCAAAATAAATCTCAATGTGGTGGAACATTGTAAAAAAAAAAAAAAAAAAAAAAAAAAAAAAAAAAAAAAAACTGAAGCTATTATCAAGGCAAAAGGTACTCAAACAATTGAGTCCTTTTTGGAAGTTGATTTAGTAAAAATTTACACAGATGGTCCATCAGATGAGACTATCCAACAGGGTGCAGCCGGTATTCACATCACTCTACCAAAGGGGGCAACTATACTCCAAAGCTATGCAGCAGGCAACATCGCTTCCAGCTTCACATGTGAATTAAGAATAATACAGGAGGCCCTGAGAATGTACATCGACTTAAATGATAAAGCCAGAGGACTTGTAATTTACTGTGACTCTAAAGCTGCCCTAGAGGCAATATTTCAAGGACATTCAAGACCCACCCAGGATGCACACCAACACCTATAAACAATCAACCAGATGTGAAAGACATGCTCTATGCAATGGATTCCTGTACATGTTGGAATCCACGAAAACCAGGCAGCCAATGAACTGGCTAAGGCAAGAAATCTCAATAACTCAATCCCCATCACTCTTGAAGATGCTAAAGCTATTGCCAGGTATAGACTCAAAGAGAAATCTAATAAGAAAGACCATCCAATATGTGAAATTGATGCAAATAGAGAAATTACAAAGACCATTTACTGGACTGAGAACCTGTCATTTTAGAAGAATGAAAATTGATGAAGATGATACCAGATCATATAGAACTTCTAGAAACTGCCCCCAAACAGAGCTTTTACCAGAACACATCTTCACTTGTCCATCAATACTTGCAGTTCTGCAAAGCTTGGAAGAATTTCCTTTCCAGAGAGCGCTGTATAGTGAAAAGATTGTGGAACTGTCAAAAGCTGTGATTTCCATGCAGGGGATCCATTTGACCTCTTGAAAGACACGACACCAACCAACCAACAAACTTCACCTTCCCAAAGCAAAAGCCACAGCTGCTGCATAAAATTTAACTCTACTCATGCAAGAGAGCTAAAATAAGTACAGTGGAATCTTGCTTAATTAAGACACAATAACACGCCGAATAAATACTAATCCAGAAGTCAAACAACAAAAATCAGAGTAATATTTTCAAAATTTTTACAGGACTAGTTTCGATGGTTTTACGGAACCACCGTCCTCAGCTGCAAAACCGCAAATGAACAAGATAGGAAATAATGATTAGATAAGATAAGAAACCCTGGACAAGAATAAGCAAGTGGTGCCATCTGTTGGTTAACCAACAGATGGCGCTGGGGATGGTGGTTCGGTAAAACCATCGAAACTAGTCCTGTAAAAATTTTGAAAATATTACGATGATTTTTGTTGTTTGACTTCTGAATTGGAATCTTGTTTATTCAGCATAAATTGTTCCCAAATTGTACTTGTAATACGAAACACTCTTTAAGTGAAATTATTTTTTTCTTGGGAATCGAAGTAAATAAGATAAAGTATTCAATTCTAAAAATGAAAAATATTTAAAAAAATTTATAATAGTCTAATTTATTATTTATAATGCCTACTTTTTTACAAGAAAGTTGCTAAAAGGACACATGTTTTTACCTATGTTTCAAAACTAGGCAAAAATGAGACACAGCATTATAGTTAAATAAATCTGTAGCAAGCATAGCTACTGTTTTATTAGGGTGATGCTTCTCAACGTATGATTCAAGAGTTTCCTATGCTTTCAATACTTCCCTTATTTCACTTTCATTCATTTATGTCATTGCTATATACACCTCTAGCCCTATAATCTTGGCCAGAGACACAATTTCTTTTATTACAGACTCCACATGCACCTGCTTAAACCCCTCAGAGTAGTGTTCATTCAACAAAGCTGTTCAGTCAAAAGCCCTAATCAAAATGTGGACAAGCTCCTACATGTGAGGTCACGATGTCACCATGTCACTCATTCTGCGAAACATCACTCATTAAGGCAGTCATTCTTTTACATTTTGTTTTGCTCATATAAATCACTTGTTATGGGATGTACTCATTAAGGTTTTAATGCATAGTAAACCCTTGCACAACAGTTTTGCATGTATGTATTATCTTAATAGTCTCCACCGAATTTGTCAAAAGGCATAATTTCAATTATATGCAGTATGCTGCAGGGTGTCAGCCATGTTGCGATAGTCCTCATTAATGACTAATTTGAAAATTCATTCATTAAAGAAGTCAGACATTGCTTAGAACAGGAAAGCCTGAGCTTTGAAGTTCTCCTAATTCTCCATAATGCTCCAGGACACAGTGCTGAAGCCCTCCCAACAATGCACCCAAATGCAGAGGCTTTAATCATTCCATTGAACATCTATTCCTTAATCTAACCAGTGAATCATGGAATCATAAAAACATTTAAAGCCTATTATATAAAGCATTTTATATATTGGCAAATAAAGAACTACAGAGGCTGTTCGCACATTTTTTAGACGATTTTGGTAAGCGGTAATAAAAAATCATTTGCTGCAAAAGAAGTAATTGCAATTGTACTATGTTTTTAAAAGTCAAAATTATCGTCTGTGGCTTGAAAGTTTTGTTTTTGTTCAAAATGGCAAATTTAACAAAGCAGTGGTTCGAAGTCTACATTTACGCTCTTTCCGAAGAGAAATATGCACACTCCGTTATCTAAAAATGATGTGAGAGTCATGGTTTTGTGATATATAAAGCATCAATAGGTAATATCATCAACAAGAAAGGAAAAAAACCTCAAATTGAAGCCTCAAATGGGAAAAAAATTCCAAACAAGTATCCAAGGAAAAAACGGACATCTTCGACTATTGCAAAGATACATTGTTTAATGTTAAAAGAAAATCCCCCTAGTCAAAGGACAGTTGCAAAATCATTAAAATGCTCAGTTTCCAATGTAAACAAAATGATAAACTTTGATTTAAATTGTAAGAAAGCGAAAAAAATGCAATGTGCATCGTCTTCTTCCAAAGCATATCGCTCAACGCAGGACACGCTGCAGAATTCTATATGAGAAACACTTATCCAAAGAAAAATGGAAAACAATTGTCACAATAGATGAAGCATGGGTGTATTTAAATGATTGTAACAAAAAAAGAGCCATTTATTATCATAAAAGGGCAGAAAAAAATTTAAGTACAAGGTTCAAAGAATCGAAAGAAAGGGATTCATGATTGTTGCTGGTTTTTCTTATAATGGCAAGTTAAAAATAAAGAGAGTACAAAAAAATGTCAAGATTAACTCCAAATACTATCAGGAACATATTTTATCGCCAATTTTTCTGAATAAAATACCATCACTTACCCACAGTGCCATCAATCTGTGAGACTCCATCAGGACAAAGCTAGAAGTCATACATCAAAATCCACTGTAAATTTCCAAAGGAAATGGAACAAAAAACTGGTATCAACGCCATACCCTTCACTGATATCCCTAGTAAATCTCCCGATGTGTCACCTATGGATTTTTGTGCTTTTTGGACTTTTAAAAACTGCATTATCCAAACGTGTTCCAAACCCTACAGAACTCTGGAAAATGTTCAGGAGGGAAGGGGATAGAATATCTCTTCTGCCCTTCAAAAAAAGATTATTATCCTGGAAATTGCGGTGTCGAAAGATAGTTCAGAATAAGGGATGTCAAACAGAACATTTAAAACACAATAATTTTATGTAATTTAGTTTTGTGAATACAATATACATCGTCTAAAAAATGTGTGAACAGCCTCTGTAGATGAAGGAAAGTACCACCCACTAACGGCATTTTTGAAGCAATTCAATACAAGACACTAAACAGAAATTATTAAACTTGCACTGGATTAAGTGAATTCATCAACAATAAATGCTTGCTGGCATTAACCTCTGATCATAAGTTGTCAACAATTCTAAATGATTTCCATCGATTCAAAATGAAGCCAAGGAAATCATACAAATTGTAAAAGCAATAGGTGGTGAATAATTTTCAGAAACAGAAGGAAAAACCAAAGAATTAGTCAAGAATGACAATCTAGAAATGACAAATGATGAATTAAGACATTTTTATATCACCAGTAGACAGTGAAAGCAGCTATCATGAAGCAGATAAACAGCTTTTAAAGTACAAGAAGGAAAAAAATGAATTGTTAAAACAGGTAGAGGAACAGTCTGATTTTGTGCAAGAGATTTACTCAAATGAAGAAATAAAATGATACTTCATGACAAATAGTGAAATACTTAGCACTCCTTACCACAAAATGATTTGTCTTGTATTAGACATTGTCCCAAGCAAAAATCATGAGCTTTTTAAAAAAATAATTGTATTATATACTTTCTTATTAGGCAATAACAGAAATCCTTTCCAATTGACATTTATTTTATTTTCTATTATCATTACAATAATATTTAAGTTAATACATATTATACACACTTTCTGAATCTGAACTACACCTGACTCATTTTTCCTATAGAAAGTTATCTTTGTGCTATGCAGTTTTGCCATATATACTGTGTGTTAATGAAATAACCCCACTTTTGGCAAGGGTTTACTGTATTCATCAACTTGGAATTTCTTGTACATGTAACTCTTGTTAACTCAAATAAATTATAAATGTGAAAATAGAATCAAAATCATGCATTTTTATTTTTTATGAGTTGTAAAAGCATATTTACATCTTTAATACAATACATATACTACAGAAATTTAATGCCAGCTTCATTATGTAATTGAAGTGAAAGAATATCTTATTCTTAAAAATGTACACTTATTGGTTATAAAACACACTGGTAGATGGGCTTATTAAAATGTGTTCAGGTTATGAAGTTTGAGAACACTAGTAGTGCTGTAATAGCATTTTAGAAGCAATTCAACATGTGACACTGTACAAAAATGATTAAACTTGGATGAGGATAAGTCAATTCATCAACACTAAATATTTGCTGGCATCAACTCTAGCCAGAAGTTGTCAACAATTATGAGAAAAGTATTAGCACTGCAACTGTTTAAAAAGCATAGTTTAATGAGCAAAATATGGTAAGGTGAGTTATGTTACTACGCAGAAGGATTCAAGAATGTTAACAAGGATGTCTTTTATACAGCATTTCCATAGGGAAAGTGGCTATACATGGAAAAATCATAAAAATCCAGTACATTAAACCAATTTATCTACTTCAATGAAATATAGGTTTTACTCAACTACTTATGAGATCTCCAGCAAAGATGTTCGGAAAAGATAAAACCCAACAATGACTATATTCTCTAACTAAAACAACAGGGGGAAAAAAACAGATCTATAGAAAAAAAAAATAGAAGAAATAAAGGAAAATAGGGGAAAAAATCTGATTTATTTTTTATAGCCACACCGTATATCCTATTTTGGAATATGCACATTTCATGTAATTGATAATATTCTAGCAATTAATTCTGCATGAAGTTCAGTTCTTTTAAATATCACTTAAACACAACATGCATTGTATTTTGGCAATGATTTACAATGTTCTCATTTATCATTAAGTTGCACTCTACTTAGCCTTAAGCAAGATACTTTAACTATGATTATCTTTAAAATTTTTAGTTATAAGAATGTCAATATTTATAATTTACACCAGGTGATAATTTGGTGATAATTTTTTGGTTCCAAGAAAAAGCATCAAAAGTAAGTACTTCAGCGATCTCAACAGCCAATCAAACTCTTGCACTAAAAATCAAGTCAAATACCAGAATCTACAGCATGAAAGCTCTTTAATGATAGCAGCATTACAGTGTAACAGACCCACAATAAAGTCATTATAATCTTCAAAGGCATGCTAAAGTCGTATACTGTACTTTGGTGCTAAAAAATAGTGAAACAAGCAAGCAATTACATAGTGAGCAGCACGAAAGACGCACACAACTCCACGTGATTACTACAATGACAACCTGAGGAACAACCTGAGGCACTTCCACCGACTCAGAACAAATGACAAATTAAAACACACACACCAACCACACTATACTTTCAACCATGCTCCACTATGTACGAGGGCCATCCAGGAAGTAGATTACGTTTCCGTCTGTGTCCGCTAGGGGCGGGGCTAGCGCGGCCATCTTGGGGTCAGAGCGTTGCGCAGCTCAGTCTGCATCTAGCCGTGCTAGTGAGAGGTTCGTGCTGTGCTCCTTCAGATACTGTGACGGTTTGAAATGTCTGCGTTAATTGAAAATCCGCGAGCTGCGAGGTGCGCTCAAAATAAGGTTTCTGACTGCAAAAAAACTGTAAACCATAGAAATCTATCGGCAGCTTCGTGAAGTGTATGGGGAAACATTATCACTGAAGGTGGAGTGCGTCAGTGGGTCATAAGATTTCAAAATGGCCGAAACCAATGTTCAACGACGAAGATCGAAGTGGGAGACCCAGCATAGTGGACCGCCGAACTTCTCGAAAAAGTCGATGCTAAAGTCGTGAAAATCGAAATTTCACAAATAACGGAAACTTTCTTTGAGTTTCCACAAATTTTGCGAAGTTTGTTGCACGAAATCATCACGAAAAGCTTGGTTACCACAAGTTTTGTGCAAGATGGATTCCAAAAATCTTGACAGAGGACCACAAAAATCAGCGAATGGCTGCAGCGTTGAACTTTTTGGACGCTTACCATAAGGATGGTGACTCTTTACTCGATCGCATCGTACTGGTGACGAAACATGGGTGAAACATGTGAACTGTGAAACGAAATTGCAATCAATGCAGTGGGGGCACACAATTCTCCCAAAACCCAAGAAATGCATGCAAACAATGTCGGCAAGGAAGATGATGGCGACTGTTTTTTGGGACAGAAAAGGTGTAATTTTGGTGGACTTCCTGGAAGAGGCACTACAAAACTCTCAAAGGTATTGCCAAACTCTCCAAAAACTCAGAAGAGCAATTCAAAACAAGCGCAGAGGAATGTTGAGCTCTAAGATCTTGTTGATTCACGACAACGCCCGGCCCCACACGGCAAATGTCACTCGTAAAGTTCTTGAATCTTTAAGGGGGAGTTGTTTCCTCATCCGCCGTACAGTCCCGACCTGGCACCGAGCGACTTCCACCTATTCCCAGCAATGAAGAAGTGGCTGGCTATGCAGCGTTTTGATGACGACGCAAAGCTGCAAGAAGAGGTAACGAAGTGGTTGAAGGCGCAGGCGGCCGAATTTTCGACGAAGGAATTTCCAAGCTCGTACATCGCTATGATAACTGCCTTAATTTGTATGGTGACTATGTAGAAAAGTAGTATTTGAGTGTGGCTTTCATCTGTATATAATAAAATTTGTTTCCTATTCCTATACTTTGTTTATTTTCTATTCCAAAACGTAATCTACTTTCTGGATAGCCCTCGTAACAACAGGTCCAACTATGGCATACCCATACATACTGGAGCTACAGCAACATCCCATCAATGCAACAATCAAACACATCAACCACACCCACGACATAGGCTACATTCATGACACCCACTCCCATAACGCACTGCTACACTTCTCATTAGTGCCAGTATATGGTGATACAAGCTAGCAACTACATACTGAGCAGCTCCATCCGATTGTTATAATATCAAAAATGAAAATAAACATCAAAGTAATTCAGAAAACTTGAATTTACTTGAAAAGAATTGCATGCTATATACAGTTAATTACAGACAAAATGACTGACAACTTGAAAATATCTACAGACTGTTAAAATAATATACAAGCAAAGTGGATAAGCGATACCAAAATATCACTGAAGATAATCACGAAGAATAATTGATAAGTATCAGAATCTTACCCAGTATCGGCTTATTTTGACCCAGTATAATTAATAAGTATCAGAATCTCTTATATACATGCATGAAAATCAAATCAAAAAATATTTTTAATACATGAAAATTAATCTCTAATAAATCTCTTGTACAGTTTGTTTTTCTGTTAACAAGACACTGCTTACCAAATGTGGTAGCCTGTTTATATCACATGTTAAATAACTGCACAATGTTAAATGTGCATAATGAAAAAGTTCTACGCATGTACATAGTGATCCATTTATCAAAGAACTGTAAAAATTCAACATCATTCACAGCAAACATTATATACATTGTATTATATGACACATTACTGTTATTACAAGTTCTTTTTTTTTTTTTTTTTTCATGAAGCTTTACATATTGTTAAGGTTGCTGCTATCTTGTAAGATTTAATGCCACTGTTAATGTTTTCTCTAGCAGAAAAATATCCCTGTATTATTTCATTAATTTTTTTTTAAAATTTAATAGACATTTCTTAATATCATGAAATATCTACAAAGCCTTTTAATTTTTCCCCTTTAATCTCATCTTAATGACACATTCAAAATCATTTGAAACGGTAATTTTTATCACTATTTTCTTCATATAAAGAACAAAGAAAATTAAAATATTTCAAATATTTTTTCATATAAACTACTAATTAGTAGTGGTCCAACAAGTATTCAACTACTAAAGCACAACAAACTAAATAGAATGTTTTTAACAATAGTATTTATATGTTATTTCTTCAATATTAAAAAAAAAAAAAGAAAAAAAAAAAGTATTTACAATCAGTAACAAAATTGTGAAATAACAAAACAAATTGTGTAAATTACAATAAAAGCAACTAACCACAAGTTTATGCTTGAAAACAGGATCTGAAATTTCACAGAAAAAATCATCTTGACAAGCCTCTGTTTCCAATAAGCCAAGAAATCTCATTTGAGGATGATTGCTGAGAAATGCTCTGAAATATAAGAGATGTAAAATCAGAAAGATAAAAATGTACAATTAAATTAACAATGTTAATAACTTTTATGGATGCAGTTTAGATCCACCTTCAAGAGGTGCATGCACCCTGGCAATGCATAAATATGGCTGAGTGATACACAAACTTGGCATGTGTCATCGAGTTCTCTACAAGTTCTCCAGTGAAATTCTGGTGGTTCTTCTTATGCCAAGAAGACTGAATTCAGAATTTGAATTGTTTTGATTGGCATTTAATTAAATTAATGATGTCAAGTTCATTATATGAACAATAAAACTCCAAACTTGATCTTCTAAGCCACACACCATCTTTTTGTATTTCTCCAAAAATATATCTTAAAATCTTCCTTTCCAACATGCTCTCATTTGTGTGTGTCATGGTCCAAGTTTCACATGCATATGTCAAAATTGGTCTTAGCTCTAAAAGATTAAAATCTTTGTTGTCCCTTGAATTACACTTGATTTCATATATTTTCGTATTTCACAGAAGCATCTATTGGCTGCAGCGATTCCCTTTTGCATCTCTGCAGTAATAATATTCCTGTTGTTAATTTCAGAACTAAATATATGAAGCCATCAACAGTTTCATATTTATATTCTCCAATATTTAAGCGAGTGTCCTTGAAGTCTGTTTTAGTGCACAGCACATACTTTGTTTTAGTTTCATTAATTCTCAGGCCCATCCTGAACTGGTGTCCTAGCAATAATGACAATGTCATTAGCCAAAGGTCAATAATTGTACCAGTTTATTAAAGATGTTTCCTCTGGTATTGATGTTTGATTCTCTTATTACTTTTTCTAGTGCCAGATTTAAGAGTAGGCATATTAATGCATCACCCTGTCGAACACCGTTTTTAATTTCAGTTGGCTTTGATAGCTCATTCTGTATTTTTACCATGATTTTAGTTTCATCTAATGTCAAGGTGATTAATTTTAATAATTTGAGTATTTTAAACTACTTTATGGCTGCAACTACATATGAACTTTTCCATTAATATTATCATAAGCAATTTTGAAATGAATAAAGAGGTGCTGAGTATCAATTCCAAATTCTTTTGTCTTCTCCATAATATGTCAAATGTTGAAAATTTGCTCTATAGTAGATCTTCCCTTTCTAAAGCCACTTTGATAGCCTCCAATTGTTCTTTCATATGCAAAGAGAATCTATTGAATAGAATGTTTGAGAAAACTTTATAACATGTACAAAGCTGCCTAATTCCTATATAATTAGAACATTCAAGTATATCTCCTTTCTTTTGTACATAAGTTATAATCAATTTTCATTCCTCGTGCATCATTTTCTGATCCCATTTTGCCTGTATTAAACCATATAATTTTTTAGTAACTTCTGCTCCATTTTTCAGTAACCCAGATGGAAATTATCCTTAACTCTGTAAGTCAGAAGATTCTGGAAAAAAATTTCCGATAAGAGAAGGGTAAGGTGAATTTTCAAGAGAAAACTGATAAACATTTAAATAGTCTGAAACAATTACATCGAAAAAAAAAACTCTTAACATGAAAAATATAAAAAAAAAGACAAATTAAATTATTTTTTTAATAATTACAGAGCTCTTTTATTTTTTCCTAAGAAGTGTTTTGGAAACTGACCTTATACAAATATGGACTAAATTATTTAATACTTTTACTGCTTATTTAAAATTATATACTTTGTAGAAACAAGAAGGGGTTTTTCCAAAATGCTGAAAAGGAAAATTAGTTGAAGTAAAAATGTGATTGATATCATATTTATTTCAAAGTTTTTACATAAAAATGTGTTTTTATTTTTTTACTCAGAAACTAATTCCTTAATTGCAAAATTGACCTTTAAAGTTATTAAGAATACTCTAATAAATAAAATTTAAAAAAATCTGGGCAAAAAGATTGAAAGGAGAAGGAAGACATTTTAATTGTTAAATTTTTCTTCAAAAATTCAAAAAATTTAGATTAAAAAAAATTAACCCCAGAACTAACCTCAGAATTATTAAAGGAAAATTAACTGATGAATTTAACAAGAGAGTTGAGAACAATTCATCAGATTCAAAGGCATTTAAAGGCCTCACTTCAAAACAAAACAAAGAGTTTTGCTCATTCTATCACAAATATAACCACTTTAGATCAGAGTGTTATCATCTAATATTGAAACAAAAAGAAAACATACATGGATTCCTGTAACTTCCAGATGAATCAAGAAGAAAGAAAACATAAAAAACGGGAAATAGAATCCAGATGCCATGCCCTCCCTCTGTCAAGTAATAATACCGTACATCACTCAGCAGAGAGTTTTGTTTTTTATAGAGGTGCAATGGAATGGCTTCTGGCCAACCTGAATGTTGATCCATTAAACATAAAACATATTTAGGAAGGAGGATCTATAGGACCTATAATATCGATACGTATTAACAACTTCGAATGGTAAATAAGGTCTTAGAACTGGGGTAATAGAAATTCTATCAGTTATTTTTTTGGTACTTCTTAACTGACATGATTCGCAAGATAGGCAATATTCAGTAATATCATTAGTCATATCGAGCCAGTAGAAATTATATCTGATTCTCTCTTTTGTTTTCTTTATTCAAATGTGAGCCCCGAAAACAGACTCACACGCTAATTTTAAAACATCTTTTTGTCTCTTTGGAAGAACTAACTGCTGAACCGAATCTCCCATTACTTTATGAAAAATTATACGTTTTATCACGAGATCAAACAACTTATAAACAAAGAACTCTTTAGAAATCAAACTATATAATTGTAAACATGATACCAAATGCATTCAGTGCATAAAACTCAAACTAACTGATTTTCCATATCCCAAAGAATCGGAATTCAAAGCTTCTAAACTGCTTGAACTCATTCACACTGACATTTTAGGGCCAGTACAAACACCATCTGTCAGTGGTTACCTATACTTCGTAACTTTTATTTATAATTACAGTAGGTTTACAATGATTTACCTAATGAAAAGAAAAAATTTCTAAACTATAACAATTTGTTGCTTTTACAAACAATAAATTTTGAAGAAAAGTAAAAATGCTAGGATGTGATAACGGTGGTGAATACACAAGTAAGGAACTTAAAGAATATCGAATAAAACATGGTATAAATCACAAGCTGACAGTACCGCACTGTTCAGCACAAAATGGAGTCAGTGAACACAAAAAACTGATCTTTAATAGAGATGACAAGATGTCTTTTAGCTGATTCTGGTCAACCTCACAAATACTGGGCAAAAGCAGTGCTGAATGCAAATTATCTACGAAATCGTAAGCTTACAAAACCCAATGCGAAAACCGCATATGAATTATGGAATAACAAGAAACCCGGCCATGACAGTAGAAGTAAAGGCTACAGAATTTTAATTCCTGGAGACAAAATCATAATAAGTCAATCTGCGCAATGTATTGAAGACACTGGAACTAATGAGCCTGTAAGCATCTCTTTAGACCAGGATAAAGGAAATCCTAAGGAAGAAAGCTCAGAACAGGAAGAAGTAAAAATTGAAAAGCTCGAAAAGGAAGAGATATCAGAACCCGAAGAAAAGCCTTTAGAACTCAGAAGATTGAGCAGAATCACAAAAGGTAAACGTCATGATCGCTATGGATATCATACAAAATATGTAGTCTCTACCGAACTAAAAACCTGGAAAGAAATTCAAACTTTGGAAGAAAATGAAAAAAGAAAATGGGTGGGCAGCTGTTTGAGAAGAAATTAATTCACTAGAAGAAAACAACACTTTGGAATTAGTTGATTTACCAAAAGGTAGAAAACTAAAATGCTGTAAATGGTCTTTCAAAACCAAGCTCAATGCAGAATGATAAAATGAAAGACACAAAGCCAGATTAGTCGCAAAAGGATTTGGATCTGACTATGATGAAACTTTTGTTCCTGAAGTAAAATCCACAACTCTATGAGCATGTAAACAAAGTTTGCAAGCTGATGAAATCAATATATGGACTAAAACAAACTGCTAGAGCTTGGAATCTGATAATTGGAAAAATACTTCTAAACATATCGTTTAAACAAAGAAAAGCAGACCCATGCTTATTTTTAAAAAACAGCAATGGAAAATTCACATATATAGATATACTCATAGGAAATAAAAAAGAAGATGTAATGGAAACAATCCAACAACTAAAAGCTAAACTGGAAATTAGTCACCTACTGCCTCAGCATAAACATCGAAAGATCTAAAAATAGAACCTTTGCCATAAACCAAAAGAACAAAATCAAAGAAATAGTTCAAAAATTCAGACTTCAAGATGCAAAAACAACATATACGTTAGTAGAAACAAATTACTGCAAACTAGAAACTGAAGGTGATCTCCCAGAGTAGGGGTCTTCAACCTTTCACGCCCGAGGGCCAAATCACGTTCAGGTGGAACACTTCCAACATCTACTGAAAATGGCAAGGCGAATATTCTCATAAAAATTTCATTTTCACGAAAATCGGAAAATCTACTTTTGAATTCCACTTTCAAATTTGAAATGCATTGCACATAATTATTTGAATTCCATATTATAGAGTTCTTCATACACTCCATCAATTTTGGAAAGTGAGTGGAATTCTTATTTAGCAACTGACACACACACAGGATTCATTTTGTCTCAAAAGCTTTCACAAAGCAATAAAGAGTATGAACAAGAAGATTTTTTCCCAGTAAGCGGTAGTTCAAACCCTTGAGATGACCTGCAATATCGATAAGAAATGCAAAGTCTCACAACCATTTTTTATCACTCATGCGGCATGCTCAAGGTAACCTTCGGTGAAGTAAATTGAAACATATCGTGATGAAAGATTGACATCTGTTGCAAACCTGTTAGAGATAAAAATCTACCCTTTTCATGGAATTGAGATTTTATAGGTAGTCAATTTTTTTTATTTTTAAATTTACATAAGATAAAGTGACATTTTTGAAAAATTCATCATTTTGAGAAAATTTTATCTCAAGTGATATCAGGCATGTCAATAAAATGTTTTGAATG